CCTCTCCTCAGGGCCTGGGCTATCTCAGCAGACCTTCAGTTATCCAGGGGTCAAGTTTGAGTGACTGCTTTTTCCCAAGCAGTCAAGGACATTTGAGAAGATGATGGCAGCCTGAGGCTTCGGGAAGCCTTATCTGGCTGTTCTGAGTTCAGCCACCTTGTGTGTGTGATGTGGCCCCTTCTCAAGAACGGCCTCAGGGCCTCCCAGCCTCCTGCACCAGTCGATCGCTCTTTGCCGGACTGGAGGAAAAACTTCCAGTTTTCACTAAGAGTGTCAAACCCAACCCAAATCCGTTCTGTCTTGCCCCAAGGGAGAAAAAAACGAGATCTGATTTAGAGCCTTACAGTTTAGAGGCTTTCTAGAGTACTGTGAACCAGCGACCCACACTCCCTGATAATTCAGGTACTAATCTCTGATTTCCTTCTCTTTTCCCCGCCTTTAAATGTTCACTCTTGTCTTTTTATCGTTAAAAAAAGGCTCAGGTTGAAGCTAAGAAAGAGCATGAAGGCGCAGTGCAGCTGCTAGAGGTAAGCGAACCTTTCTTTTTGGGGATGGGAGAGGCGGGGGCTCACGTCAATGCCTCGTAGAAGAAATCGCTCACCTTTACCGATTGCGCACCGGGTACCGGTTACCAGTGCTGTCCTCCCATCGTCCCGTGTCAGCACAAGCAGCCTTGTGTGTGTAGGTGCCATGATGATTCCCATGTTACGTGCCTGAAAGCCGGGCACAGAGGGGTTAAGCCGTTTTCCCGTGGCCACACAGCCAGCTCAGAGCTGCGAGTCTCAGATGGGGTCCTCGGCTGACTCCTCTTGGATGGAAAGCAGGGAGGGTGAGCCCTCTCACTCGCAGGGATGACTTCCTCCTGGAGGGAGGGAGGACGGGCGAATCTGAGGGGAGTACTTGTCCTGACGAAGCACCTGGTACCCGGGGAGGCGTTTGCAGGATCAGAGGGAGGGTGACCGAGGGAATCACAGCAGTGAACGCCACGCGAGGTGCTGCCACGGGCGTTGTCCCCACAAGCACGGTGTGAATGACCCTCCCTAGCCACCCAGAGGCCTTTCTCACTGGCCCTGATGGCAGGGGTTTGTCAGGGAAGCGGTGTCAAGTCCCAGCGGTGTGGGTGGCGTGGCAGGATGGCCCCTCTTCTGTCCCAGCTGGTGGCCGGATGCCAGCCTCCTCAGGAGCCAGGGGAACTCACGGAATCACCTGGGGGGGCCTTGGCCGTTCAATTCCTTATGCATAGTAAGTGTGCACTAAGAGTGTATCCGCTGAAGATCAAGGTCACCCGGTTACTGACCCCTTGCTACAGACACAGCAGCGGGGGAGGCTGCACAGCGTGGGGCGCCCCTGTGGGGCCGCCTCCCCTAGTCCCACTCCATCAAGAAAGGCCAGAAGGGCCTTTCCCCTGGTCCTGCCTTCTGCAGATACGGGAAGCACTTGTCCTATTTAAGATGACCTTGTCCCTCGTCCCCAGGGGAACACGACCACTTAAAACAAAATATACGCATCTCGTATATTGCCTTTTAAAATCTGTTCCTCCCGCAGGAAAAGGTTTCATCATTACCATCATCTGTATTAGAATTGATTTTTTTGAAAGCTTCCATTAGCTAATGAATACATGGAGGGCTGAGAGTGAGAAATAGCAGGTGGGAAAATATATAACCTGGGGGAGTGGAAGCAGAGCTCGCGGGGCCCATCCATCTCCCTGAAAAATCACGGCCTCCCTGGCCTGACTCACCCACTGCACTTTGATTTGCATAGTCTCGTGGCTGGAAGCGCAGTTTCTTTTTACTCCTTGCCCGAATCCCATTGGTTTGCTCCGCTGTGTTGTTTTAATCCACTTTCTGAGCTGCCGCTCCGTGACGGTCCCGCTGAAGTGGCGTCACCCGGTGCTGGGTGGCCGGGCATGCCCTGACACGTGGGGACAGGCAAAACGTGCTTTGGGTTGAAGAGCAGAGAAGGTGGTGCAGATGTGCTGAGACTCTGTCTTCTTCTGTCCCCAACACCTTCCTGTCCCTGCGTCTTGCTTTGCTCGCACCCAGAACACGCTGGACAGCATGCAGGTACTTCCGGGACGGACGTCCTCCCCCCCCCCCCCCGTGTGCTCGGTGGTGCTTTCTCCGTGCTTGGACCAGCGGCGCGCCCCTGGGCCTGCTCGGACCCGCTCTTCTCCCGAAAATGGGCAGCTCAGCGAGGTTCTGAGCAAATGGCAGCTTCCCGATGCCGTTGTGGGGGACGAGGGCCAGGGGAGCCAAGCTGCTTGTGGGAGCTCCGCCCCAGGGAGATGCTTCAATCTAGGCCTTGGGGCCCGACGGTCTGTCCTCTGAAGGGATGAGCAGGCCCAGCGCAGCGCAGCCGGCTTCCGTTTTCTGCCAAGGCTGTAACTTTCAGGCTGGAAGAGTGTCTGTGACTTCCGATGACCACGGGGAGGAGAGATCGTTAGCACGGTTCTGCCCACCGTGGGGCCAGCCACGTGCTTGCGAGCCCAGATTCCAGGGGCATGGTCATCGGAATGCAAACCTTGCACCTGAACGTCCCGCATTCCCGCCCCGTGTGGCTCCAGCGGGCCAGCGAGCCCCTCCTGCCTCCTCCAGCGGGCAGCGCCTGGGGAGGAAGGGAAACTGGGCTGTCCCTCCAAACAGGGTTTTTGAGCCTCTTCCAAAACTCTGAGTTTGGCTGTGAATTTGCAGAAAACCCGACAGCTTTCCTCATTGCTAGATGGGTGGTTCTCAAAGCGGGGTTCCTGGACCTGCAGTGTTGGCATCACTGGGGAGCTTGCTCCGAATGCAACTCCTCAGGATGAGCCCTGGGCCTGCGGAATCGGGAGCCTGGGGCTGGGGACAGAGGCCTGCGCTTTAACAGCCCTCCGGGCAGTCTGACGCAGCAGCTGTCGTTTAGGGAGTCTGCTAGGCTGGTTAAGGAAAGAAGCGTCTGAAGGAACGAGGCCCTGGGGAGTGCTGGCCGACCGTGGTCCAGCCCCTTCGTACCGGGACCTCCCGCCCGCTCGCCTTCACAGGAGTGTTAACTGAAAGCCGGCAGGGGGAGGCCCTGCCTGCTGGCCGCTCGCGCTGTCTGTAGCGGGCAGTGGTGTTTCCATTAGGAAGTTCATTTTCTGGGAGGCTGTGGTGCGCCCCACACGGCGGGCTGGTGACCCCCTTAGGTCAGATAGTCTGCGAGGCAGCACAGCCCACTTCCTGGCGCAGCCAGAGATAACAGAGAGTGACAGATAAGGTCGACCTCAGGAGACGTGTTCAGTAAAAACCCCCCAAAACACCCACATGCATGAATCTCGTTCTGCGGACGTTTCTCAGTCCCGTTTCCTGATGAGTGAGTGGCTGGGGTGTTTGGGGCTGAGGGGAGGGGAGGTGTCAGGACTCCCGAGGACTGATCTGGGCTCGCCTGGGGACTTCACCAAGACAGAAGTTAGGAGGCAGCTGAAGATGGAACTTTCCAGAATCAGGACGGAGAGCTCTGTTTGCAAACCTGAGAGCCTCAGAGCGCATGCTGTCCCAGAGCCTGGCAGGTGCCTAGCTCTTGGCGCTTTATGAAGGAGTCGGCTCAGCGTGTGCGGGGTTGTGCAGCACCAGCTACAGTGTGGACAGCGGCGCTCACCGAAGACTCCCTGCCGGCACCATGCGCAGGGCGCCCCTCCGGGACGTCCGGGAGATGAGGAACATGTGGTCTCGCTCGGCCTGGGTGACACCCGGGGAAGCTGAGGCGGGGTCAGACGCAGAATCTGGCCCCAAACCCTCGACCACCACACTGCAGCTTCCCTTGGCCTGGGAGTCCCGACCTCCCTGCAACGGCGGGGGCTCCGCTTTCCTGCCAGCAGAGCAGTCCCGGAGGCTGGATGGGGCACCGACTCCCGCAGCAGCTGGCCTGGGAAGCGCTGGCCGGGTGGCCTGCCCTCTCTTTGCTGGTGGTGCAGCAGGAGCAGAGACGGTGGGCACAAGTGACAGGTGTGATGGAGCGTGATGCCTTCCAAACCACCCAGGGGGGTTATCATCACTCTCATTTCACTGACCAGACAACCAGGACACAGAGAGGCCGAGCCGCTCACCACGGACACGCAGCTCCGAGAGCAGAGCTGGGCCCTGAGGGCAGAAGGTCCATGGGTAACACGTGGTGACTGATCCAGTCTCCCTGAATCTTGAGGTTGTACCGTCTAGAGCACATGGCTTCCCGGTCACGGTGGCAGAGAGAGCTCCTGTCCCTTCTCCTGTGTCTCAGCTACAGAAACAAGTGTCACCCTTGTTTATGGGCCACTGGCCAGAGCTAGTGGCACGGCCTGACTTCGCTGCAAGGGAGGCTGGGAGGCGCGGGCCGCACAGCTGTGATACTGGGTTGCTGTATCAGCCAGGTTGAGACTCTTGACTCCAGCTTCATCTCCCCCGTGCCTCCCCTTCCCACCCTGGCTGGCGCCCCAAGGGCAGAAGCTGCAGTCAGGGAACAGCAAGGGGTTCTGACGTGCCACCAGTGAGTGGTGTCCGTCTGTGTGCAGGGTGCCTCCGTGTCAAATGCGTGTCTGCAGAGCAAGGAGACCCGCGGTAACCAGAGCCACCGGTGTTGAATTCACTGTGCTTGAGTTGGACGGTTTGGTAAACGCATTAATCGTGTGAACCAGAGCAAACGTTTAGGACACTTGTGTTTTCACGGTGCTGAGTCTGTGCACATTACAGGAAGCAAAACGTGAATTAAGGAGCCACCTTCGCCGGGGTCTGCCCTTGGTCCTTGCTTTGTATCAAGATTGCGTTGTTCCAGAGTTCAGAGCAGTTCCTTGTCAAGATCCTGCAACTCAGAGCCTGCTTGGGTGAATTCATGGGTTTTCCTGTGTCTGTTACAGTTGTGGGCGTGAGCTGGTGCGGGGTGAGTGTCAAAGGCCGGCGGAAGGCGTTTCTTGCTGGGGCTCACTGGGGACGAGTGCTGAGCAGCCCTCAGCGCTCCCGCTGCTGGGAAGAGGCAGGGAGTCCCAGCGCACTGCCCCAGGCCCAGGCGCACTGCCAGCCTGCGGTCCTCTGCACCCCGCTGGGGGCTGGGTTGCCAGTCCACGGCCCCTTGCAGCACTGGGCCAGGCCTCTGCCCACGGAGGCCCGAGGGCCTTAGCGTCTGTTTACAGAGCCCCTCCCATGCCTCCAGAGCCTGGGCTTACAACTGGCCGTCGTTCTGAGGGCAGGCTTCTCCCCACTTCACAGATGAAGAGACTGAGGCCCACTGAGCTGACGTGCCTTGCCTCCGGGTCCCCCGAGTGAGTGAGTGAGCGGTGGGCATGGGACCAGGACCCTGACCAGAACCTGGAGTCGCAGAGGCCCGGGTCCGCCCTGCCACTTCCTGGGTGTGTGATCTTGGCGTTCAGTCCATCTGGCCTTCCCTTCCTCACGCATACAAGGGCTCGTCCCGGGTCACCCCGTGGAGTCCCTCTGAGCATCAGCAGTCGTGTGGGAAGCCCTCCGGTGGGGCCGGCGCACAGCAGGTATTCAGTGAGTGGTAGCTGGCATCACGGAGCTCGCTTGCACAGAGACACCGCGCAGAACGGCTTGCTCCCACGTGGCTCCGCAGGGCGACCCAGTCTGCCCCTGGTTTGCCGTTCCAGCCTGAGTGTTGACAGCACCCCCTTACTCTCCAAACGGTCCCGGTTTGGACATGGGAGACGGGGACAGCGCCCTCATTCGTCTCTTTACGACGCCCGGAAGTCAGATGAGAAAACACGGAGCGGAGGAACCTGAGAGAGTGCTGGCAGGCGCGTCTGGCTGTGCTCACCTTCCTCTTCATAAATACTCGCATCCAAATTTGCAAGTCTCCGCTGTTTATTCCAATTATAGTTTACTTGCCTGATGACTGTGCCATCTGTTCCCACTGCGGCCAGGATGCAGCAGCCCTCCGCTCCTGAGGCTGCAGGTGGCAGATCTCTGGGTTGGGAGGAGCGGGGCTGGGGACACAGCGATGGGGACAGGCCAGTGGCCAGGTGAACCCCAGCGGGCGTGGTGCTCTGAGTGCTAAAGTAAACGCTGCCGTGCAGGTGCGCGCCCGGGGCCTCAGGTAAACGCTGACGTCCAGGTGAGCCCCCAGGGCAGGCGGCCAGGCGCTGTTTTCCTTCCCAGCATTTGCAGGAGTGCTTTCTGCTGGTGGCTCAGGGGCCGTGGGGGCACCAAGCCCCAGCGAGCCGCGCCCGCTGCAGCCAGGCCAGGGGAGCCTGTCCCCGGAGGCTCTGGAGGGAGGACCTGCCTCTTTCCCAGGAGAGGGAAGCAGCAGGGGAGCCTGGCGAAGCTTCCAGAGGAAGCCCTGACCTGTGGGGAGCTTTTTGGGTTTAATGGGCTGCTGGCATCGCATCTGCTGGCTTCTCGGACCTTTTCCCCTGGAACGAGTGAGAGCAGGCGTCTGGGAGCTGCCGGGCTTTGGGGAGCTGGCGTCCTGCTGCCTTGAAGCCATGTCCTGGGAGACCCAGAGGAGAAACAAAACAGGAATCGAGGAGAGAGACGTGAGCAGCGAGGCGTGAGCCTGCAGGACTCTCAGAGTTTCTGGGGTAGACACGCGAGATGGGAGGGGCTTAGCCCTGCAGCTTCGCCCCCAGGTCCTAGTGACAGCGAGTCTCAGACCACGCTGTCACACGTGTTCAGACGCACGGAGGGGTGCACGTGCGCGTGTTCTGCTGCTCAGTGATGTCCCTCCCCTCTGCCTTCTCGGAAGCTTCCACCACCAGCTCCCATGAAGCTGAAACGAGGCCCTGTTCTGGTGGCCTCAGGCAATCAGACATCCTTTGAATCAGCGTCTGGTCACGGGACCGTTTTGAGCCCAGCCTTGGGTGCCATCCCCAGATACACTAGTTACGCACTCTTCATTCTGGGGGGGGACCGTGCTGGGATCTCCCATATTTTGAATTCCTTTAATTTCACCAGTGGATGCCTGTTTCTTCCATCTGTTACACCTTGGAAAAAGCTCATCATTTACCAGTTTTTTCCCTGATACCGACCATACTCAACAGGCGTGCATGGGGCGTGGATGGAGAGACAGGTAGTGGATGTCTTTGGAGCAGCTGCCTCTGGAGCCCAGCCTTCCTGGTATCTGCGTGGCCCGCCCCTGGGGTGGAATTCTCAGTTCCAGCGCTGACTGCTCTAGAGCGGAAGTTCTCGCCCCTGGGACGCATGCTCTCCATGCCTTTCTGTCTCCATGCAGAAGGGCTGCAAATTAGAGACCCCAGAGCCACCCTGTGTGTCTGGGCCTTGGGTGGGGACAGCCAGAGGCCACCCTCAGGGCCACGCAGTGCTGGGACTGCTAGCACATTCCATGTGAGGTGGGATCACAAAGTGGTGACCCCCAGGCCAGGGCCATCTCTGCCTGAGCCTTGTCTGGCCAGGCTGTTCGTAAGCCTTCAGAATACCCTCCAGTGTCTGACAGTTGAGGGATTTTCCATCGAAATGAAGATTCGCTGCTTCTCAGGGAAAACTGGCGGTTTTGCCCACAGTGGGCCAATACTGAGACGCAGATGCCCTCGTGGACAGAACACACAGCCTGGGTCACCTGGTCCCCCAGGACGGGCATCCCCCACCGACTCCACGGACGTGTGGTGGACACGATGGTTGGGCGTCGGCTCTGCTGCTCCTGCCCCCCAGGACCCTCCCCTCGTCTCTCACGTCAGAGCCGGCTGCTGGGGAAGCGGCGGTGAAGGAAATGCTCCCTGGAAGGCGGCCCTCAGGGAGCTCGGGCCCTGGGCCCCACCGGCAGCGGTACCCAGGAGACGGAGTTAACGCAGCAGCTGAAGCACGCAGTGGTCCGCCGCCTCCACGTGAGCCCTGGCCTCTCCCTGGTTTCGTCTGGGTCCCGCAGGGCCTGCTGGGAGCGCACGGTCTGCCCTCTGCCCGCCCTGTGCTCCACTCGCCTCCACCCCCGAACCCCCAGCAGCAGATCAGGTCAACAGCTGCAGCCGGGAGCCCCTGTTCAGACGGGCCTCAGACGCCCCGTCTCCGTGTGGGCTCCTGACACCTCAGCTGCTGTCCGCACTTCCAAGCCCTCCTTGCCCAAGGCTGGGTGGCTGGCGGCTGTTCCCCACCTGAGGGCGCTGCCTGCCCTCCAAGGCCAGTCACTCACACCTGGAGCAAGGGTCTGGTCTTCAGGGCTGAGCACGGGGTAGCCAGAGCCCTTGGCCGTGCGGCATCTGAGGTCACCATCCTGCTCCTGGGCGGGCGCTGCATCTCCACGGGGGGCCCAGGCGGGAGGCGGGTCTGACCTCCTCTCTGTGTCCCCACCTGCATGCAGGGGCGCCCGGTGTCACTGCTGTGCCTTCCTCGGAGGGAGCAGCGATCCCAGCCAGGCTCGGTCAGCCTTTCAGAAGAATCCTGCTGATTTTTGTTTTAATGAATCCAAGAAATTAATTACAAGTTTGGGATTGGTTAGGTCTATTTTTAGGATTCTGTGATCTCAGACATGAATAGTACTTCATTCTGGACTAAGGAGCTGAAAGTCTTCATGCCCGTGGAGGACGTGGAGAAAAGGAGTGGCTGGTGCAGGGGTGGGGGTGTGTCGCGAGCCCCCCAGCCAAGCCAAGGGTCCGGCTAGCACCGGCCTCCATGCCTGTGTGCACACCACTTGAAACCAGACGTCACTCAGCCCGACTGGGTACCCACCTCCGGTCCAGGTGCTGGAGCGCAGCAGACCAGACTTGTGCCCTCGTGGAGCTGGCACGGTAGCAGGGATGTCCCACCTGCCATCCAGCAAGGAACGGAGGCCGGCCAGGCCCGACGCAGATGGAGCAGCCCCTGCTGTGAGGAGCGTGACACCTGCAGACCCGGGCTCTCCTCGCCACGGCTTCAGCAAGCACCCGTCGAGCACCCGTGGTGGGCGGGTTCTGTGCAGAGCCCTGAGGGCGTCCCGGGGAGCCAGAGGCACAGGCTTGAAGCTGACGGTCTAGTCGTGGAGACAGACGAGGAAGGATCAGGGAGCTCTAGAGTGTAGGGTGGTGAGTGCCCAGAACAGAACACAGCAGGGGAGGCAGAGGGGGCTCTCCACGTGCCCCTCCTTGGGTGGGCGCACACCTGTGGGCCAGTGCGGGGAGCTCGTGTTTCTGCACCAGGAGTGGAAGCGCAGGAGTGTAGACTCTGGTTCCCCGGGAAGGAAGAGGGGCTGGATGACACCTGCCCAGCTGAGAACCAGCCGGGGCAGGACCAGGCAGAGCGGGGGTGGGGGAGCTGCCCGGGGCTGCCCTTCCAGGACGTGTGCCCAGGGACACTCCAGCCTCCCTAGTGCTCCCGAGACGCCTCCGGCATCTGCAGATGGCAGCGATGTTGCTAACCCAGTCCAGCAGGTAGACCTTCCCTTTACTGCTGAAGCCATGCGCTTCGGGGTTCTGCAGGACTAGAGGCAGGGGCCTCCACAAGATGGCTGCATCCGTGGGCTAGCCACGGAGCCATCCCCCACGGCCGGGCTGTGTCACCGCCCCATACTCCAGATCTCCAGCAGCTGCGGTGAGGCGTGCCCATCACACAGAGCCTGGGCTGCACATGGAGCCCAGAGCAAGCTGCAGTTGGCTGGGCCGAGTGTCTGCAGGGTGTCCTGGCACCTGCGCTCGCCCACGTTTGCCCTGGGAGCCAGGCTGCACAGAAAGCTTGGTTTTACGCGTCGTCGTTCATTCTTGCATGGAGGCACGAGGCAGCCCTTGGCCACATACACGCACACACATATGCAGACACACTCAGACAACACACTTTCAGGTGTGCATGTGCACACACACTGTCGTCCACAGTGCACGTGCGGCACCTTGTGCACACACACGCACGCTCACTCAGACACGTGTCCCCGCGAGCCAGGGCTGCCTGCTGACCGTGTGTCCCCGCCTGTGCCCTGCAGTGCAAGGTGCGGGAGCTTGGAGGAGAAATGCCGGGCGCAGAGTGAGCAGTTCAGCCTGCTGTCCCGGGACCTGGAGGAGTTCCGCCAGCACGCCGGCAAGATCGACCTGGGCGGCAGCTCTGCGGCCTCCTCGGACGGCCCCTCGTCCCCCAGCAAGGCCTTCCCAAGGCTCATGAATGGACTGGCCCCCTCCATCAGCAAAGGTGGGTGCCCCGACCTCCCTCCCGTGGTGGAGAAGGGCCGTCTGGCCTGTGAGGCACCGCTGGGCACAGCTGGGGCGTGGGTGACAGGCGCCCCTGGGGAGCGGCCAGTGTCGAGGGCCTTGCGGTGATCAAGGCGGGCCAGCGGGCCTTGAGCACGCCTGCTGTGCCGGGCCCTGGCTGGGCACCTGGCGGGTGTCAGCCGGCATGACCTCACACGCCCTCAAAGCGGTGGTACGCAGGCAGCCAGGGCCTGGCCCTGAGGGTCTGGCGCTGGGTCTGCGCTGGGCGCTGCCTGGTGTGCTTCCGAGCGTCTCCCCTCCTCCTCCAGCGACCTCCCTGTGACATCGCCTGCGCACTTGAGAGCTTCCGTTCCGACAAAGGCCGCGGTAATGACAGCGGTGAACTTGCACGCTTTTCCATCACGTTTGTGTTTAGGGAGCCGAGTGGGGCGCAGGGGGTTAACTCCGCGTGGTTGGGGGGCATTTAGTCTCTGTCGTGGGTGAAGTGATCACAGAGGTGTTAGACTTAACCTTATCGGAGGTCCTCGGTGTAGGCAGCGAAGTCCCCTGCTCAGTCGGGGAGCACTTTCTCCCTGCTGAAGGTTAAACGGGTCACAGGCCGATTTTATCCACCTGAAGACAGTCAGTTTTTCTTTCAAACTTAGGGGAGATGAGGGCTGGAGCCCCACCTTGCAATTCCACAAAAGAATCTGCAGCTTTTGCTCCCAGTTTTCATCAGAAGATTGGGGTGCTTTTCACTATTAAAGCAAGGTGATGATCGTGTATCTTGATAAATGATGTTTCCCCCCACCCCCTCCCCATCCTGCTTGTGCGTTAGAGAGAACGCTTAGCTCTATGAAAAACCAGACAGAAGGAGGAGGTCTGAGCGCCTGGTACCCCAGGCCCTTCTCCAGGCAGCAGCCCCGGGCCTCCTGTGTGAACAGCACGCGAACACGTTAGTCTAGTGGAAGCTCACGCGTCAGTGGAGAGGGGAGCAGTGACTAACCTGAGTGAATCGGTGTCGAGATTGATCTGGAAAAAAAGGATGTGATTCCCAATGGCGGAAAATGGACACTGACCAACAGCAGACCAAACAGAACCCCAAACAGCTCTGCCAAGCAAATCACTCAGCTCCCGGTGGACCAGCTGGTTTGCACAGGCTTCTGTTTAGCCGCTTGGAAGAGCCATGGTGCTAACTGACGGGCTCGTTTAAAAAACTGCTCCCTCGCCCACAAGGTGCTTCTGGGGGCAAGACCGGGCACGCTTGGCATCAGCCTCGCGGTGTCCTTGCTGTGCCGGCGCCACTGGGCCGCTAGGGGCTGCCAGCAAGAGGGCTTCCTCTGCAACCCCAGCGTCCTTCTCAGGGTCACCCTCTGACGGCAGACAGGAGGGGCCCCTTACGGACGAGGCAGGAACTTGCTGCTGGGCCGGCCTCCTCTCTGTGTGCGTCTTCGGGAAGGTGTGGGCAGGGCCAGCGCACAAGGTCGGAGAAGGCCCTGCAGATGTGCTCCTGCCTGAGGCCGGGTTGGCCCGAGGCTGAGGAGGACGAGGCTGATGGTGTGGAGTCACGTCTGCAACAGGAAAGGCGGACATCGCACAGGGACAGGATTATCCCTAAAAAATCTCCAGGAAGGGGCTGCTGGAAAGAGGCATGGGGGTGTGTCCTTCCCCGGGCCACCCCTACACACTGTCTCCTTCGGTATTGGAGCTGGGATTTGCTGAAGCACCAGGTAGAATCGTGGATTTGGGCTTGGTGGCCATAGTCTCCAGAAAATACATCTGTTGAAGCGCCGGCGTCAGGAAAGGGTGGGATGTTCCTGCCGTGAGGGCACGGGGGCCAGAGCTGCCCCCTCACTCACAGAGCACAGGCAGGTGACATCGGCCATGCTCGTCAGATTGTTTTTCTCAAGGGAGCTGGATTTGCTGAAGGTGAATACAAGGAGTCTGCTACATTCTTTCCCCTTTACTGGCGATGTCACCCCTGCTGGTCACTGGCAGTGTGTTAGTCAGCACGGGCGAGGCTCAGCTGCAGAAGCCTTGGGGGCTTAACACAGCTCAAGCCTCTACCTTGATGATGCTCCACGTCCGCCTCAGGCCGGCTCAGGGCATCGGTTCCACGTGTCTTCACTGGGGAATGCTGGCAAACAGAGCCGCCTCCATCTGGAATGTTCCATCGCAGGGGAAGGGAAACGTAAGAGATTAGACACCAACTCAAAAAGGCTTCCACCCCAAGCAAGGCACGTCACTTCCACTCTCAGGCCATTGGCCCGGATGAGCCATGTGCTCGGGTCGCACTCCTGCGTCGCTCAGAGGAAGGAGATGCGGTACTGGTTCTGCAGCCAGGCCCTGTCCTCAGCCTGTGAGGCTTTGGGAGTCAGTTCTGCAGTGAATGTTTCCTTTGCACCTGCTGTCTGCCCGCCAAGCACTGTTGGGGGCATTGGGCCTGCTCGGCAGTGACCAGAGCCCAGCCACTGCTCCCTGGGACCTGGCATTGCCGCAGGGACCCCCTGTCTGTTTCAGCATCGATTCTGTTAGCGATGCTTGCCTACGATTCTCTTAATCGGGCAGGGGCAGTGGGGGTGACTTCCAAGCAGCCTTTGCGGGAACGCTTCTCACAGTATTTGGATTTCCTGATTTGGACTCAGTAAGTCATCTTCTTCAGTGAACAGTCTGCCTGGTGTGAGAGCCACGGCGAGAGACTAGACGAAGCCAGCGAGGAGGCCCTGCAGGCCACGGGCAGCAGGAGCTCGGGGTGGAAAACCAGTTGCTTCTCTGTCTCACACCCGGTCCTAGGAAACATGCCTGAGGCTGCTCAGTCCAGGCCAGCACTGATCAGGGTGCTCAGTCCCCTCCCCACGTGGCTGGGACGGGGCTCTCGAGCCCCCTGAGGACAGGACCAGCAGAGAGCCACTTTGGTCCTAGTTAGTCTCTTGTCAAAGTGTTTTTTAGCCGTAAGTCCTTTGGTCACTTTGTGTATTAAGTTAGGACGATTTGGGTCATAAGTGACAGCACAGCCAAACTACACTGGTGTGAGCAAAAAGGGCTTGCTTTATCATGTCGAGTAGATGAAGGGCCAGTAGGTTTAGCTTCAGGTACGGCTGGATTCAGGGGCTTTAGCCCTGCCACTCCATCTTACAGATCCTCTTATGAGCAGGCTCCATTCTCAGGCGAAATTTCTTCCTCCTGGTGGCAATATGGCTGCAGTATCACTGAGTCTCATCTCCCCTCAGGTTGAAGCTGGGGAAAAGGAGTCTCTCTGCCCATGACTCCCACTAAGTTCTCTCTGACTGGACCCTCCTGTCTCATGGGCAACACCACTGTTACCACCAGACGATCGTGGAGCCAGGAGTAGACTCGGCCAGATGGACGGTCCAAGGACAGGGGTGGGGTCAGACCAGCCTATAGGAAATAAGAGTGGAAAATGGGTGGGTCCCAAAACGAAACTCAAAGGCTGATGTCAAAGAGGAGGAAAGACACACTGGGAAGGCAGAGAACCAGCGTGCTTTTTTTATTTCCCTTGTGTCTTTCTTCAAATTGTTCCAATGTTCCCGGCCAGGTCAGGAAAGTTCCATCAGAAGCCACGCTGTGATTGGTGACTACATCCGGCCCCTCCCGCTCCCGGGTGACAAGCCGGAGCCTCTGTCCGTCAAGCCCACCTTTCTGTCCAGATCTGGTGGCCCAAGATGCAGATTTGAATCAGACGTGAGTCCTAGTCCTGGTCCTGGCCTGCCCGCGTCGGGTGTCAGGCGTGGAAGTCAGCACACCTGCCACTCTCTTTGCAGCCCCTCCTTGTCTTCCTCCCTCTCCTGCCTCCTTCCCTTCTCTGCCATTCACCTGTCTTCCCTGACCCTGCTCTGGGCCAGGACGTGGGCCCCGTGTGCACGGGCGGGGGGTGTTCTCTTAGTGCAGAAGGACTGTGAGCCGGTCAGCACCTAAGAAGTCAGGTCACAGCGAGTGTCGTGAACGTGGCAGGACAAGCCCGTGACCCGGAGGGATGAGGCAGGAGACAGGGCGGCCCTCTGAGAAGGGCCCTTCTGCTCTGCCGCACTTTCAGGCGGGTTATTCGTTAGATTCCGCAGACTAGTGACATCACAGGCCCTGCGGAGACAGGTGCTTTATAAGCATCCCTGTGTGACCGAGGAGCCTGCAGAGAGGGACCCGCAGGGTGGGGGAGGGACCCGCGGGGGATGGGGAGGGACCCGCGGGGGGGGGGGAGGGACCTGTGGGGGGGAGGGACCCGCGGGGGGGGCCTCCAGGGGGCAGGGAGGGACCTGCCCATCTGTGGGTCACGCCCAAGACAACATGCATGTTCTCGTCTCACGGGAGTTCCACCATCTGAGGCTGAGGAGCCCTGGGGACCATGACGGGGTCCCTGGTGTTTCCAGCATGGCGTGTGGAGCCTGCGGCTTCAGCGACATGAGCATCCGCTGTGTCTCTGACAGATGGATAATGAACGGGCTTCCAGCACCTCCAAGCAGAGATACTCGGGGAAGGTCCACCTGTGTGTCGCCCGCTACAGGTAAGAGGGACGCTCTCCTTTGCACCCTCTGGGCATCTGTGAGCGTGGAAGGCCTCAGGCAGGCGAGGTGGTGGGTGCGGGGACCCTCCACGAGCTGCGGGACCCCTCCCGCAGTGCCGAGAGGACGCGGCGGCCAGGCTTCGCAGGGTGGCGTGTCTGCTCTGACGGGAGGGGCCCAGGCACTGCGTTCCTTTCCCAGGGCTGCCTTTAAGCACATCCACAAGCAGGGCGGCTCAGAGCAGCAGAGGTCCACTCTCTCCTGGTTCCGGAGGCCAGGAGCCAGAGATCAAAGTGTCAGGGGGCTGCCCTCTGAAGGCTCGGGGAGGGTCCTTCCTGCCTCTGCCATCCTCTGCTGGCTGGCAGCCTCCTTGACGCCCCTCAGCTGTAGCACCCCACTGCAGTCGTGGCCTCCGTCCTCAAGTGCCCGTCCTCCCTCTGTGTCCCCCCATTTTGTATAAGGACCCTGTCGTTGGATCAGGGCCGCCTGACTCCAGTATGACCCCATCTTAACTTGATCACATCTGCAAAGACCTTTCCAAGTAAGCTCACCTCCGCAGTGCCAGGAGTTAGGGGCTGAACGTCTCTCTGGGGACGCCGTCCAGCCCACAGCGGCGGCAAACTGATTCTCAGAGAGGGGTGCCCGTGTCCATAGCCCCTGTTTGGCACTGTCCCGGCGCCCGCCCGGACCACGTCCCGCGGCCGTCACAGCTGCCGAGCCCATCACTCGTCGGAGGGCCCATGCCCACTGAGAGCTAGCGTGGGCCCGTCTGGTCACACACGGCTCTCAGGTCCCTTGCGGTTGCCGCCAGGAACCAGGTCTCAGGAGCCAGAAGCTGGGCTGCAGGTGCTGCCCTCGCCACAGCCGTGGGCTTTGTTCCCGCGGGGCTGGTGGGGGCAGACGGAAGAATCTGGGGTCGCTGAGATTCTTGCCTAGACGTGGACCTGAACTCTCCCAGGGCCTTGTTCCCAAGCGCAGGGGCCTCCTCCTGGCTCCCCAGTCCTGAACCGCCCACTCTTGGTGGGTGACTGTGGGGGCTGCGACCTCACCCCCGCGTGCCTGGAGGATGAGTGACACCCTTTTTAATTTACACGATCATCACTCATGATCGGTGATGTTACTTTTACTTTCTTGATGAGGCCTTTTCTGCTATTTTAAATGAATTCACCTTTGAATTAGAAAATCAAAACTTTCTGTAGCATGTTTCATTTGCACGTTGGATATGGTTTCAAAAAAATGTGAATTCCAACATTTTGAGGATTGGAGAGGATGGTCACTTTGACACTCCTGGCGGAGAGAGAGAGAGAGAGAGAGAGCAAAATCCACTTTCCAGGATGTATGTTTTTTACTGAAGTGTCCTCGCGTTACCATGTGTTAGTGTCAGCGGACAGCGTCAGGATTCAGTTACACTAGGGTATTTGGGCCGTGCGTAGCCAAGACCTTGAAGACGTGCGTGATTTTGGCCAAACAAATCTGCTTCCTAGGGATTTATCTTCAGGAGGAAAGCACGCGAGTGTGAAAAGATATGTCCGTAAGGATATTTGATGCAAAGCCAGTTACGTTAGCCAAAAAGAGCGTCAGAACTCAGATGAGGAGAGTGTGTGTGTGAAGCTGTTCAGTGGACTGTCACACGTCCCTTAGAAAGGCTGCGATAAGAGAGTTTCACGGGGTGGAAGGACAGTCACGCGTGTTGCCAAGTGTGAAAATGAGCAGGTTGCTATCTACCAAGTAGGTTATGTCATACGCTCCCATCTTTGTTCAGTAATAGGTATTGAAATGCTCCAGGGTTAATGACTTTCTTATTTTCTGACTGATCTGGAAATTTATAACGTATAATTTGGAGTCATATAAAGGTCATCTGATATGGAGGACTCTGAGCGGACAACGTGGTTTCAGAACTAGCTTCTTATTTGAAACCTGGGTGTGTGAGCCATCGAGGGCCTGCATTTTCAGTGTGCAGATGACTCACTGGCACCGAGTCGTCGCTCGGGTCTGGAACATCCTGGGAACAGCAGAGTGGGCCCTGGCGCTTGGCCAGGGATGGGCTGGCCTCAGGCTCCATCTCGGGCACCACCTGAGCGCGTTGTCTCTTCCTCTAGTTACAACCCCTTTGACGGGCCCAATGAGAACCCAGAGGCCGAGCTGCCACTCGCGGCGGGGAAGTACCTGTACGTGTACGGGGACATGGACGAGGACGGCTTCTATGAAGGTCTGGGGGGCCGCGTGGTGGGCGGGGGGCCAGCTCCCATCACCCCGGCCGCCCCAGGCCTCCACTCTGACCCCGTCTCCAGACTTACAGGCAGCCCCTTTTGTTTGGCTGAGTGGGGTTCCCACTTTGAACCCCAGGTAGACCTCAGACATTCACCTGCATGCAGCCTCCAACCAGACACACGAGGCTGACAGACAAGGGGTCTCTGCCTCCCTTCCATCTCACTGTCCAGCACCCTCAGCGTCCCCCAGGTGACCTGCTTTCCGTAGGACCAGAGCCCATTTAGGTGACCTCACCTGGCGCCCTGCGATCCCAGGGACCGTCAGGCTCTGGCCCCGCGAATGGCCCGACCATTGCCTTATGGTCACCTCCTATAGCATGAAATCAGGAGCCGTGAACCCCTCCACCCACCCGGCCTTGGTCCCCCTTTGTAGGAGACGGGGGGGGGGGAGCAGGTGGCACTGCCAGCAGCTTCGGAAATCAGGATGCCTTGGTTCCCTCAACTTTTCTGTTGCCCTGGTAGCAGGGTTTTGGTTTCCTTCTGTTCCCTCTGATGAGGAAAGTAATTTCTTGCTCAACTAGCAGGTTTCTTTTTTTGTGACCTCACAGAGTTTCCTTGGAGCTGATGGAATCAGCCTCAGCTCCAGTCCTGAGGTTTACGGGGGCCGGACATCAGGCCGCTCGGCTGACGTTTGGAGCCCAGCCCTGCCCGGCCCGGCTCCCTGTCTGTCAGTGAGCAGCAGACAGAGAACCCGAGAAACTTCCCCACGGCCGGTGGCAGAGCAGCTCGAATCTTACCATAAATTTGTGTTGCTCGCGCCAGTTTGCACACCAGGGTGGAAATGTGTGCTCCAGGCGGCTGCCGGGAAACCCTCGCTGGAAATCCCTAGAACACGGGCGCCGGGCGCTGTGCCCACATAGACTTTCAGAGGCTGGATTAAAGGCAGATGCAGAGCTCAGCGCTCCGTTGTCCGTGGGACCGTGGGAGGCTTGCCCCGGCTCACGGTAGCCTGTAACTGTTCCCGCCTCAGGCGGCCGTGAGGATAAGTGAGGAAGGAGACAGGGAGAGGTGCAAGCAGGGCTTGGTACCCAGAACTTGCTCCGTAGATGTCAGCCCCCACCCCTGCCCTGTCTTCCCCTGTGTCAGACGAGGGCTGTTTATATAGCATCCTCTAGGCAGGGGTGGACATCTCAAGACTCCCTTCCTGGGTGGGGTCAGGGACAGAATCAGATCCTCATTGGTTCCGGAGATTTGGGACTGACTCCAGTTGGCTTCCCTCTCCTGGGCCCTCACACGTCCCCTGAGGCGGGGGCGGGGTCTGCGGGGAGAGACCCCTCTGTTCTGCACTTCCCAGCCTCCCAGGCCCCGCCCGGTCAGGCCCTCTCTCTGCGGCTGCTGGTGCTGAACTGGGGGAGCTGCCATTTCTGGCTGGTGCCGAGAGGTGACCCAGACCGAGCAACCTTTGATGCTGCGAAACAGGCTTAGTTTGCAGGGCTCTGCTGTTGCAGGCTTCCGAGCCTCAGGTAGGGAGAACGCAGGACGTGAAGCCACTTCACGGAGCAGAGAGGGGTCCCTGCTGTGAGTGCTGCAGCCTCAGAGCTAGTCTGGTGGCATTTGGGGGCCACTCTGCCCGCGGGTGGTTCTCCAAGACCAAGCTCGTCTGTTTCACACCCAGTGGGCGCACGCTGGGAGTCTCATGTAGGTGGACACGGAACTCCCTTTGCAAGGGGGAAGCGGCCTTCTAATTCCTGTTCGTGTGATCACTCAGAAATCGTCGTGAGGTGTCATTTTTTTCATCTCCAAACCCACGTGGCTTACATGTTGTTTGTCCTCTGACAAACCTTTGCTGCGCATCTGCTGTGTGCCGGGCATCCCGCTGGGACGGTTCAGTGGGCAGGACGCAGGCCCACGCCCTCCCAGAGCAGCGCCCCCAGTGGGAGGGGTAGTCAGTCCATGTGTGCAGCTGAATGAACACGGTGCCCTGGGCACTGCGGGGAAAACCAGACAACTGATGGAGGGGGTGGCAGATGGCAGGTACTGGGGTGCCGTAGCAGGGGTGGGGTCCGGGCGAGGTGACGTTTGAGTGGTGCATATTAAGAGCTGAGGATCCCACCGTAACCTCGTTGCTTTCCGTAGGGTCCCATCGTGGGAGGTGCAGACTTGCGGCAGGACCTCAGGCCCCCCACGTGACAGTCGGGCCCTAACTGTTCTTGTGCCCAACAGGCGAACTCCTGGATGGGCAGAGGGGCCTGGTGCCCTCCAACTTCGTGGATTTTGTCCAGGACAGTGAGTCTCGGCTGGCCAGCACGCTGGCGAGTGACCAGGAGCAGAACCTCATCAACCGTTCCGGCATCGGCATCTCCCCGCTGGAGGGGGAGAGTGTCCTGGACCTCCACTCCCCGACGCTCACGGACTCCGGCCTCGCCGACAGCGGGGCAGGGACGCTGGATGTCAACATTGACGACATTGGAGAAGACATCGTGCCTTACCCTCGGAAAATCACCCTCATCAAGCAACTCGCCAAAAGTGTCATTGTGGGCTGGGAGCCCCCGGCCGGGCCCCCGGGCTGGGGGACGGTGAGCAGCTATAACGTGCTGGTGGACCAGGAGATGCGCCTGAGCCTCACGCTGGGCAGCCGGACGAAGGCCTTGATCGAGAAGCTGAACACGGCGGCCTGCACCTACCGCGTGTCCGTGCAGTGCGTCACCAGCAGAGGCAGCTCGGACGCACTGCAGTGCACACTGCTGGTGGGCAAGGACGTGGTGGTGGCGCCCTCCCACCTGCGGGTGGACAACATCACGCAGATCTCCGCCCAGCTCTCCTGGCTGCCCACCAACAGCAACTACAGCCACGTGATCTTCCTCAACGAGGAGGAGTTCGACGTCGTCAGGGCTGCCAGGTACAAGTACCAGTTCTTGAACCTCCGGCCCAACATGGCCTACAAGGTGAAGGTTCTGGCCAGGCCGCACCAGGTGCCGTGGCAGCTGCCCTTGGAGCAGAGGGAGAGGAAGGAGGCCTTCGTGGAGTTCTCCACGCTGCCTGCAGGTGAGCCGTCCTCCGGCGGCCCCAAGGGAGGTGACCCCCGGTGTCCCCCACGTGTGCACGCACGGGTCCATGAAAGGGAGAGAGAGAGAGACGGGAGAGGAGAGGAGAGGAGAGGACTTGGATTGTGTCCAGGGGCCACGTTGTTAGAAACATTTAACATCTGCAAGAGGCTCACCCCACCGCGGACAGCAGGAGAGGACGGCCTCCCGGGGGACCGGGTGGGAGAGCTCCGCCTCCCGGCGGCACGTCCTCTGGCCGCGCGCTCAGTGGGTGGACTGGAGAAGTGAATGCCCGCAACCCTCTCAGAACCGCTCTCCTGCTCTGTCGTGCCTTCCTGTTGGTGCACACGTGTATCTAACACGGGTGGCTGAGTTTGTGTAGAGGAAGTTCCACTGCGATGCCGTTCTGGGTCCCGGGCACCCCCCCTGTGCTCTCAGCTGTGACAGGAGGAGGGAGGGACGCCCCTCCCCCCCACTCCCTCCCGGGAAGCTGTAAAGAGATGGGTGGGATGGACCAGCCTCCTGGGTCAGCTCTTCCTCTGCTTCATAGGATCCCAGAGCTGTTAGGTTAAGGGGCAGCTGCCACCTCTGCCTCCAGAAGGTTCCATCATGTGGGGCTCTGCTGGGCTCACGGACAAGGCAGCCTTTCCAAGTCGGGCAGGAGGCTGTGCCCAGCCTGGGAGCCTGGACACCGGGAAGACCAGGCTTCTTGGAGCAAAGAAGGTCCCGTCTGCAGAAGTACTTGGGGGCGTGCTTTGTCTCCTCTAGGGCTGTTCTTAGTCCTGGGATGCTCACCTCATGCCCTTGACATGCTGGTCGTGACACCCTGCTTGGATTTGTCTCCGTGATAGTGGACCCAGCTCCGCCCAGCCTCATGGGTCAGCCGTTGTGCAGACAGTTCAGTCGTGCTCCAGAATCATCTCTAGTGGCCGCGTGAAGGCTCCCATCTAACGCGGGATTGGCTTTCCAACTCGCAGTGGCTTTGCTTTTTATTTTATTGTGCTTTCCAGTCTCTTTGAAATCTGTCATCAACTAGAGTCTGACCTACAGACCACAAGGTTGGGGGCAGGTGGGACAGACCCCTTCAAGGAGCAAGAGTGTCTGAGTAGGTGCTGATCTGTGACAGGCCAGTTTGTTCGTGCTGGACGATGGCTTTCGGCTTCCTGCCTGCCTGTCAGGGTGTCCGCTGAGGACCCTGGGACAGTGATGCCTGCCGTGAATGAAGCCTTGTGGTCAGTGCTGGGGGGGGGAAGAAACGAGAAACCCCAAACCCAGGGGCTCCACTGGGCTCGGAGGAGAGGCAAGGAGCATGTCCACTGGGACTGCTGGGAAGGGCTTCGTGGAGAAGCTCACGCGGAGGTGGGGAGAAACAGAGACCCAGCAGGAGGCCTGGAGCCCGGGGCACGTCCCCGCAGGTTCACACCCAGTTCCTGGGTGTCTCGTCAGCTCGGGCTGTTGTAACAAGATAAACTGAGGGGCTTGTAAACAACAGGCATCTACCTCTTGCAGTTCTGGAGGCTGGGAGTCGAAGATCAGGGTGGGGGCAGACCCCGTGTCCGGTGGGGACCGCTTCCTGGTCGGCAGACCACGTCTTCTCGCTGTGTCCCTGCCTGGCGGACGCCGGGGCGCAGGAGCTCTCTGGGCCTTTAGTAAGGGCAGTGGTGTCAGTCACCCCCACAGACGCCCACCCCCAGTAACGTCAGCTGGGGCTTCGGACTCCAGCACGGGGGTCTGGGGGGACACAGGCCTCCGGTCCACAGCAGGTGACTTCCGCTGCCCGTCCGGGAGGAGAGTTTTGACCGTGGCCACGACAGGAGTGAGAGGTAGGGGCAGGGCCACCTTGAACCTCGCTCAGCGTGAGCCCCGGCACCAGGTGTGTGGCGGGACGAAACGCCCCACATGGTGGGCGTCAGCACGGCTCCCCTCACCACCGGCCCCGCTCTGGGCTGGGAGGAGGGGTGGGCTGGAGTGCAGGACACAGCCTCCTCCACCAGCGAACCCGGCCTTTCCTGTGGCCGCTCTCATCGCAGGAACTGGAGCCCAGCCCGGTCCAGACCAGTCTCATTCTTGACTTTCGCCCTTAAGGGGAGCAAGCCTTCCTGACTGCTGCGAGGCGGTACCTCCCTGTGGTTAGACTTGCGTCTCTCTGATACCTAGTGACTCTGAGCGTTTTGTCATGGGCCCACTGGCCATTTGTATGTTGCCGTTGGAGAATTGCTCGTTTAGGTCTCCTGTCCATTTTTGGATTGGGTTTGTTTTTGTTGTTGTTAAGTTGTATGAGCTGTTTATATATTCTGGAAATTAAACCTTGTCAGTTGAATCAATGGCAGATATTTTCTCCCATCCTGTAGGTTGTCATTTCGTTTTGCTTATGGTTTCCTTTGCTGTGCAGAAGCTATACTTCAATTAAAAAAAAAGCGTAACAAGGCTGTCTGTCCTGTTTGAGTGGACTGTCCAGGTGGAGTGTAACTTCTGAACCAGGCTGGGCAGGAGCTCCGAAGCCCAGTATCGCCCGCCACGTGCTGAGGGTGGAGTTGCACCTTCCTTTGCAGATGAGCCGCAGGCGAGCGCTGGTGTGAGTCCTGCCGCCAGCACTTGATAGCGAGCGGCTTCCCTGCGACCTTAACTTCCTCCTTTGCAAGCTGAGGAGGAACTTGCAGGGCTGTTTGGATCGAGGGATGTAAAGCATCCGAAACGAGGAGTGGCGCGTAAGACATCCTCAGCCTGCAGCCGTCCCTCCCCACCAAGCCGCCCCCAGGACCTGCCTGAGCGAGGCCTTGGAGGACGTGAAGCTCATGGCCTTCCCCCTGATACCTCTACGTTCCTTTCCAAATATAAGTTTCCATACTTCAGACACAAGGGTGCCGGGAGTTTTGCACCAGAGGAAAGGGAGGCGCCCATGGGTTGGGGTGCAGACGGGCCCTCCTGCTGAGTGAGACCAGGAGCTGATGGGGTGACCGGCGACGTGACCCTTGCCTCCTTGTTGCTGGGAGTGACCGCCTAGGACGGTCTCGGGAGACCCAGTGAGCACGGTTCAAGGTGGTTTGGGCACAGAAGAAGCGGGTCAGCTGGGGCTGCTGGGTGTGCAGAGCCAGGTCCAGTTTCGGGCCTCGTCAGAACCTGTCTCTCTCCAGCTTTCCGCTTTGTCCTCGCCAGCGAGGTGGCAAGATGGGTGATGTGTGGTCCAGCCTACATGCTCCCAAGTTTGCTGGAGAGAGGGAGGGCCGGGGTGAGGGGGCAGCGGGTGGTGGTGCAGAAGAGGAGGGGAGAGGTGACGGTGGAGGGGGCGTCTCATGGCTGACTGGCCAGGCTGGGGTCACAGGCTGCCGTGGAGACGGAGGTCAGTGAGCAGGAGTTCAAGGGGCACCGTGGGGCCCCTGGGAGCTGCTGCTCCGCCCCGCCCCCCACTCTATTCCACCTCTCCTCTTCTCCCTCCTTCCCCAGAGGCTTCGCTGAAAGATGCCACCATCTTCCAGGTGCCACCAGCCTTAGCGGCTCGGCTGCCAAAGGGCCGTGTTGTGAACATCTCTCTGCCTCTGCCCCGCAGGTCCTCCAGCCCCCCCACAAGACATCACCGTCCAAGCCGGGGCCACCCCAGCCACCGTCCAGGTGTCCTGGAAACCGCCCGCCCTAACGGCTACCGGACTGTCCAACGGGGCCAACGTCACCGGCTATGGCGTGTACGCGAAAGGGCAGAGGGTGAGTTTCTGCTGGGGCTGCGCCTGCACGCAGGGCCGGCCGCCCGCCCGCCCGCCGCTCGCTGAAGGCTGGTGTCCCCTCTCCTCAGCCCGCCAGCGTTCACTAAGCACCAGCTGCACTGGCACCCCAGGGCCCGGTGTGGAATGCTGAGAGCCCCCGTCCTTTCCTGCCCCGCCCTCCTTTCCAGAATGCTCTCTGCCTCCCGCGCTGCCTGCCTGCCCTGCTCTGGACCGTTCCTGTTCTCCTCCCCCAGGGACCAAGCATTTCACCTCTCTTGAGTCCCACGATCTCGAGCCCCCCTCTGCAGGCTTGAGGACTCCACCACATTGGTTCTTGGCCGGACGGCCGCAGGTCCAGGCGCCTCGGAAACACTGCAGGGCCCTTCCTGCCGTGTTGGGGAAACCCATCAGCTCAGCGCCACCCCTCCTGGCAGACGAGAGACACGCTGCCCTTGAGGGGCTCGAGCAGGCTTCTGTCTGTTCCCCACTGTCCCCCAGACTAGGAGGTGACGGGTCAGACGCACGTGTCTGGGTTCCCTCTGGGAGAGGGGCCCCTGCGGATGCCCCCCGCTCTGTGCACGCAGGAGGCCCACCGGGCGGGGCTTCCCCTGCAGCAGAGGCCCCGTGCGGTCTTGTCTCCCTGCAGCAGCAGGAAGCCGACACGGGCTCTGCCTAGCGCTCCTCTGTGCAGCGCTTCGGCAGTAACAAGCCCGGTGTCCTGCTCCCTCTGTGGCCCCGCATTCGTTTCCGCGTTGCTTCCGGGTGTGGAAGCAGAGGGTGTGCTTAGCCGTCCCGGAGACCCTCCAGCAGCTGGGCAGGGAGGCGGGGCTGCAGACTGTGCACGGTCCTGGCTGGAGTCAGATTGGGGTTGGGGGGGGGTGCCAGTACTCCC